GCACACTGACCATCAGGGGACAGATGCCCAAAGCAGGAGCTGCCCCCAGCCCACAGGCCCCAGGCCAGCCAAGGTGGGTGCCAGCGGGGGGCCCCCTGATCGCCCTGCTGATCACCCCACAGAGGGAGGCAACCCATGGCAGCAGCGGGGCAATCAGGGGGCTGGGGCGGTGGGGTGATCAGGGGGTGGGGCCAGGCGGCAAGCAGGTGGCGTCGCTCCCCACTACCCCCGATCGCACCGCCAGTTGCCTCCCGCAGAGGGAGGTGAACAGCAGCGGCAGGGGGTGGGGCCCCAAGGCGGGCAGCACCAGGCCGGCCAAGGCGGGTACCAGGGTGGTCTTTTAATTGCCCCACAGATCGGCTCTGATCACCAGCCAGGCCTAAGGACCCTACCAGTGCACAAATTTCGTGCACCAGGCCTCATAATAATAATAATAAAGTGAGCTGTTTTGTGCCTTCTGAATGGTTTTTCCTATATAGAAAAGACTATTCAAAAGTTTACTTTTAGTTTTGTCTAATGGCAAAAAGTTTGCAGGAGTCCAGCAAACTATGGCCTGGGTCAAATCTGCCCACTCCAATTTGTATGGCCCATGACTTAAAAATCGTTTTTACATTTATAAATGTCGGGAAAAATGGAGCAAGAGAGTAATATTTTGAGACATGTGAAAACTGTATGAAATTCAAATATCAGTGTAGTTGCCACAGAGACCTTATGTCCTGCTAAGTCTAAAATATTTACTATGTCGGCCTTTCCAGATCCCTGGTTTAAAAGATTGGTGTTCCGTTTATTAAAACAACAAATTCAAAACCTTAGTGTGTTTTTAAGCTTTTAAAAAACCAGGTGGTTACACAGCCATGAAACCACAACCACTACAATCAAGATAACAAACATTTCCATCACCTCAAAGAGCGGCTCCCTGCCTCTGCTCCCGGAGCCAGGAAACCACTGATCTGCTTCCTGTCACTAAATTTTTATTTGCATTTTCTAGAATTTTATAGAAATAGATTCATACAGTAAGCACTCTTTTGTGTCTGGCTTTTTTTTTTTTTTTGGTCCAGATTATACAGATTTTGAGATTCATTCATGTTGTTGTATCAGTAGTTTGTTCCTATTTATTGTTATGCTTTAAAAAACTTTAAAATTTTTAGTCTAAAATTTCTGTATTATGGAACATTTAAACATACCTAACAACAAGTTCCAAATAATGTATGAACCCCCATGCACACATTACTTAGCTTCAACATTACTAACTTAGGGTCAACCTTGTTTCAACCATACCTCCACCCATGAACTCCCTCCCGTATTTGAAGCAAATCCTAGGCATCATACCTTTTCCCCTGCAAATATTTTAGTATGTGTTGGGGTCCAACCCCAGCAGGTCCAGGGGTCCCCAAAGGTGTGGACGGAGTCGGCAAAGAAGGAATGACATGGAGACAGCATTCAGTTGATCAGCAGCCTAGCCAGGATCTCCAGAGAAGTTCTGGTCTGGATCTCCAGCAAAGTTCTGGCTAGGATCTCCAGAGAAGTTCTGGTTAGGATCTGATCAGGATCTGATGTTTATTGTCTTGTTACATCTATATTTATACCAGCCGATTTTAATCCTGTCAATTTCTATTACAAAGGTTAGGGCGTTTCTTATCTCCATTCCAGGGAGTAAAGATTACGTAGCTTAACTACCCGCCTGGCACTTAATTAAGGGGTTGTATCCCCTCCCTAACCTCAGGGAAAAATCCCCACCTGGGGAAACAACCTTTCTTGGAAAGGTGACCTTGGTTAAAACACATGGCGCTAAGGAGAGCAAACATATTAAGAACAATATGCTATATATGCCAGGTCCCTTGAAACATATGCTGTGCAGATGTTTCTTTCCTGCAGCGACTGTGTCAAGCAGCAAGGATGGACCGGCTTCCGGCAAGTATGTACTTCTAAAAAAGTATGGACTCCTTAAGAAACATATAACCACAACACCACTATAATGCCTATAAAATTTTAACAATAAAAAATAAAATTTTAACAGCAAAACTAGTTGGCTATGTAATAATAAATGTTTTAATTGAAGAACAATGTCCTTAAATGTTCAAGTTCTGCTTAAAATTTTTTTATAAATTTTAGCAATAATTTCAAGGGGTCTTGAATACTGTTTGTTTCAATTTATAAAGGCTTCCCAGTTTAATAGAAGGCCCTTTGGGGTTGGCAAACTATAGCCCAGGGCTTGCTACTTGTTTTTATAAATAACTTTTTATTAGAAATCAGCCATGTCCATTAATTTATATGTTTATTATCTACTAGAGCCCCAGTGCATGAAATTCGTGCACTCGGGTGGGGAGTCCTTCAGCCTGGATTGCGAGAGGGCGCAAGCCAGTCTGAGGGACCCCACCGGTGCATGATTGGGGCTGGGGAGGGACGCAGGAGGTTGGCCAGCAGGGGAGGGACCACGGGAGGGCTCCAGGGCGTATCCGGCCCATCTCACTCAGTCCCAATTGGCCAAACCCCAGAAGCAAGCTCACCTACCTGTCGGAGTGTCTGCCCCCTGGTGGTCAGTGCACATCATAGCGACTGGTCCACCGGTCGACTGTCTGCCCCCTGTTGGTCAGTCATAATAAGCAGTTGAGCTGCCATAGCATATCATTAACATATTACGCTTTGATTGGTTGAATGGCTGACCAGATGACTGGACACTTAGCATATTAGGCTTTTATTATATAGAATGGCTGCTTTCCCAATAAATGGCACAACTGAATAGTTGTGACAGAGAGCCTCTGGCCCACAAAGCTTAACATATTTACTACCTGACCCGTTAAGAAAATGTTTGCTGACCTCTGCTGGAATTTATACATTTCATATAAAGTTATTTATTGAATACATTTTCTTTCCTTTTCAGGTACTTCAGTTACCACCTGACAATACATCAATCTTTTTCAAGTATTAATTTTTATAAAGTCCCAATTATACTCACAAATTAGGTAAACTTTATTATTTTTTTAAAAGTAATTTTATTGATTTTTAGAGAGAAGGAGAAAGAGAAACATTGTTGTGAGAGCAGAACATCAATTGGTTGACTCCTGCACACCCCTTATTGGGGATCGAACTCACAGCCTGGGCATGTGCCCTGACTGGGAATTGAATCCACAACCTTTTGGTGTATGGGATGATTCCCAACCAACTGAGCCACACAAGCCAGGGCTAAATTTGGTAAACTTTGAATTTTTTAGATGTTCTGAAACTCTGCTTAGGTTTCATAAGCTTTCAACTTGAAATCAGGAGTCTATATCAGTTACTCAACCATACACTTTAAATTGCTCTCATAAGGGAGTATCTCAAGCCAAATTCTTGCACACATTTGTAGTACAGAAAATATCTAATGTATCCAGATTTCTTCTTACTACAGAAACTATGGTTTTGATTCTCCTAAACCTTGCCTATTAGTTATTTTCCTGGAGTGGGAAGATATGAAGCCCTGGGGAAGACTGTTACCATCCCAGTAACCAGAGCTGATCTGCTGAGGGAGGGAGATGCTGCCCCAATTAATTGAGGCAACAGCAGAGATTTGGGTAGGACCTGAGTTTTATAGTTGCAGACATGCAGGGTTCACCACCACTACTGCCCTACTAAGTCCCTTTTGGAAAATACTACGTAGAGGCCTTTGAGGCTTGGTGGGTGCTCATCTTGGGATCACACAGTGCTCATTTGGGGGCAGCAAGAGTCTGTTCATTCCTTGATTAGATTTGCATCTTTTGGTTCCTAATTCACTTCCTATCTAACTCTAAAGATCTTTGAACTCTCAGGGATCCAAAAAATATATTCTCATTTATCTATTTTCACCTGCAAATAATAGAGTATGTATCTCTAACATATTAAAACTTTTAAAAGGAACCTTAGTGCCAGTAGTTTGTCTAGAATTAAGAATTACTAGATGCCATCTAATACTCCTCTTATTCACCTCTTATTTCTCCACTTGCCTAAAAAAGGTCTTTTTACAATTTGTACAATCAGAATCATAATGAGGCCATATACTGTATTGCATTTGGTCTCCAAAGTCTTTCCATCTATTGCAATCTTCTATCCCCTTGTGCCATTGATTCGTTGAAGAAACTGGGTTGTTTTCTATAATTTCCCATATTCTGGATTTGGTTGATTGAGTCTAGGTGATATGATGTCTTTAAATTGTCTTTTTTTTTTTTTAATCCCCTATATTTCTAGCAGGCTTGATTAGTTGTTTTGTTGTTGTTGTTTTTTTTGTTTTTTAGTCAAGCATCCTCCATAGGTGGGTAAATGTATTTTCTAACTAGCAAAGACTTGAACTTGATATGACCTTGCATTCTTTTTTGCTATTTCTAAGATATTTAACATGGTAAACTTATTGAAATTTGGATATCCCACATGGCTTTCCCTTGGACTTGGAGTCACAACTCACATAATAGCTAATTTTTAAGTGCTTTCCAGGGACAATGTTAATTAAGTACCTTACCTTGCTCATTCAATTTTCTAAACTTTTTGCAGACAAGGAAACTAGAGCTTAGCGAGTTTGATTAACTTAACCCGGTTAGTAAGTGATGGTGGGAATTCAGGGGTGGAATTGCAATCCCAACTTCCTAGCATTTCCCGCTCCGAACAATTCCAACTCTCAGTCTCGGCCTTTTAAACGGTTCTCACGGAAACTTGCTGGTATCCAAATTACCGGGAGTGGCCCCGCCCTGCCAGCCCCGCCCCTTCCCGCCCCGCCCCGCCCCGCCTGAGTGAGTGTCAGGAAAACCACACTTCCCAGAGTGCACCGCGACCACGATGGCCTCACTACCGGCGTCCGCTCGCCGGGCGCCATTTATGTAGCCGGGAACGGCGGTGCGGCCTGCGACCATGGCGCTGTTCCCGGCCTTTGCGGGCGTTAGTGAGGCTCCCGATAGCGGGAGCGCCAGGAAAGGTAAGCGCACAGAAGGGACGAAGAAGACACTCGGCGGGCTTAAGACGTAGTTCCTCCGCCCCCGGCTTTGGATTTGTTGGTCCACCTGTGTCCCAGAGTTCCCCGCGGCGCTGCAAAGCCTCCTGGGAAGGGCCCCTGTCCGGGTCCCGGCTTCTTCGGGGCGCGAGTCCTGGAGTTACGGAAGGAGAGAGACCTCGGAGGGACCCTGGAGCTGGGACTTCCATAAAGTCATTCTTCCTCTGAGCCTCAGTTACTTCGCCTATAAAGTGGTGATAATGGTGCTCCACGCGTCAAGGAAACTCCCGGCGCAAATGCTGGGTGTTCTGGTGCCCTCCTCCTGTTGTACTTCTTCCTGAGATGCTGATTGGGCTCATGGCTTTAGGCAGGCCGAGAGCTGGGGCATGAGGACCCCAAGCCCAGTCAAACTGTTTCTCTCCCGACAGGCACAGCTGCTGGGAATAGACGTAACATTTATTTTTTGAGAGCCTGCTGTGTGCCAGGTGATGGCCTAACATGTAGTATGTCGTAGTATGTCAGCCTTAACCGTCCCCTGGAGGTCTGCAGTGTTAACAATTGAGGCACTGACAGGCATGCCTCCGAGATGTTGAGAGTTTGGTCCCAGACTACCCCGCAGTTAAGCGAGTTGTATTCTTGTTGGTGGAGGGTCTTCCATTCCTAAAAAATGCGACACCTGTGAAGCACAGTACAGGGAAGCTCGGGAATAGGAGGTATGCCTACAGGGAATTGTAACGTACAGGAAGTCTAAGTCATGCGCTTAATGTGGCGGAGTCCAGTTGTATCTGACACCTCTTACATCCTCTCAGATGGCTCTGACATCTATATTCTGGTAATACAACAATTGTCAGTAATTTCTTATATAATTAGTGTAATTTTGATCATCCTTTACTGACTCTAATCTCCATGTGGTTAGGACGGTGTCTGTCCACTGTAGCACACTTAGCCCCTAGCATAGGTCAAAAATAGAGTAGATGTTCACTACGTATTTGCTGAATGTAGAGAGCAATAGTAGGTGCTTAACAAAGAAATAGCAGTACAAGGCAGGATGTTATAGATGTCACTAGGGGCCTGATGCACGCAATTCGTGCACTCGGGGAGTCCCTCAGCCCGGCCTGTGCAGTCTGGGACCCCTCGCTCCTTATTGCCTGGAGGCCTGCAGTGGAGGCGGGAGAGGCTCCTGCCACTGCTGCTGAGCTCTCCAGCCTTGAGCCTGGCTTCTGGCTAGCAGAGCTCCCCCTGTGGGAGCACTCTGACCACCAAGGGGCAGCTCCTGCATTGAGCATCTGCCCCCTGGTGGTCAGTGAGTGTCATAGCCACCCGTGGATTTGCATATTAGGGTTTTATTATA